ATCCCATGTTCATGGAAGACTTATGATTGCTAAGACAGTAATACTTCTTATGTTGATCTACAGTGATTACACAATTCCTATAAAAGTCTCTGTGGCTTTTTTTTTTCAGAAATTGACAAACTGATTCTTATATTCTTATGGGAATGCAAGAAACCAAGAAAGAAATCTTAAAAAAGAACAATTGTAGGATTTACACTTTTCAATTTCAAAATTTACTACAAAACTGCAGTAATCAAGATAATGTGGCACTTGCATAAGAATAGAGATATAGATCAATGAATTGAGAGACCAGCAGTAAATCCTTACATTTATGGTAAATTCACTTTGACAAGGGTATAATCAAGATAACTCATGGAGAAAAAAATCATCTCTTACATAAATGGTGTTAGGACAATTGGATATTCACATGCAAAGGAATGAAGTGGATCCCATAGAGGAATCCTGACCAAAAGGGGGGAAATGTAAAACAGAATTTCAAATTCTCATGGAATCTAGACTTTCTGGTTTCATAGGAGCTGAATGGAATGAACCCCTGAAACTATAGCTCTGAGATCATCTTTAAGCCCTAAACCAAAAATATCCCTTGAAGAATTCTTTTGGCTGAAACTTTTTATTGTGAATTAAGTGAAGGTTTACAGAGATCATCAGTTTTACATTTAAAAAATCATACATTTGTTTCATCTCAATGATTGATTGCAATCCCCTCTATGCAACAACAGTGAGATTGGCTTAACTAGGTTCCAATATAATTTCCTTTATTTTAAATTATAAAGATAACATTAAAATGTTAAATACACCTTGCAAAAAAGAGAAAAATATCAATAATCTTATCATTTAACAGAATAACTATTCCCTTTTTTTCCTGCATTTCTCCCATTAGTAGTGACTCCTTTGCAAACATGACTAAAATAAGAATTTGCATTAAATATATAGTTGCTGTTATTCGTTGATGTTAAATTGAGTCTGAATCAGAGTAGCTCCATGTGCAGCAGAGTAGAACTGTGCCCCGTAGAGTTTTCAATAGCTGATTTTTCAGAAATAGATTGCCAGACCTTTCTCCTTAGATGCCATTGGTGGACTTGAACCTCCAACCTAGGCATATGTGTGTGTGGAGGGTGCCTTTAGGGTGGGATTGGTGAGGAAAAGACTTATACTTCTATGTTTTACACTCCTTTACTGAAACAAGCATGAAAAACTTTTGTAATTAAGAATTTAATTAACAACAACAAAAAAAGTAAGCGAGGGAAGGAAAAGACTGGAAGGCGGGAAGGGGAGATAAGAAAGAAAATCATTGCACCAATCCCACTTTTAAAGAGCCTGGGAAATCAAAAGCCAGGAAAAATAACTAAGCAATGTATCCTTTCATATCATTTAATAGTACATACCTAGACATTTAAGTATTTGTGATTTAATTTTGCTGAGCAAAAAGGAAAATTGCAAATTATACCAGTCAAACTTACTGATCAATTTTGGATTCTGTAGTATTTCCAGCTTTATCTTTCAATTTAATTGTGATAGATCCTCTTCTTACATTCTTATTCCAAGTTATAATATCCACTAAATAATGATATACTACAAAACAGGGAGAGAACACAGTAAGAGAGAGGGACTCCCAAATTCTCTCTAGAAGCAGGGAGCAGGGTTCCTAAAAACCCAGCTTTCCTAATAAGCAAGCCTCTTTCTCTCTAGTTTCTGCATAAAGATCCAGGGCAGAATTTCCTAACTCCCTTGGCTCCTCTTCATTAAGGATGGCACGAATGACAAGAGTTCAATGGTAGCTAGTTGCCATGTTTGGCATCACCGTTAAATCAGTGTTTCTGTATTATTGACAAAGGTCTCATGACCTACTGCTGAGTATGAATGATTCATTTTCATCCCTGCCCATTTTAGAATGAACCAACTAAGTAGGCTTGTGGAGGCTCTCGGTGGTTGACAAGAGCCTCCACAATCTCCTCCCGGCTTCCCTCTTCTCTCCCCAGGCAGGTCAGACCACCTGTATTTCTATACTGCCAAGCCCTCTCTTGCTCTTGTGTCTTCCTCCTTGCCTGGCATACCATTACTCTGCTTACTGTGACTTTGGCTTAATGTCACTTCCTCCAGGAAACTTCCCTGACTCTCACATGAAGTTGGTCTCCCTTCTTGGAGTTCCAGTCAGACTCTGAGTTACCCCAATCCCTACTCAGCACACTTTGCTGTATTTACAAAATGAAAGAATCAAAAAGTGCCAAATGTATGGCTATATATAGCCATTAACATGTTGTCTGAATAATTAATGTCTTGTGGGATTAAACTAAAATCTACTACAACAAGTAGGAAGTGGTGAGAATTCCTCTTTTTAATACCAAAACTTATACTTAGTGGGCACTCAGAAAATTCCTATTTGAGTGAATGAGAGCACAGGATATGTTCAGAGAGCTATTCTTCCTCCCTACGCTTTGCCCCCTAAAGTCAAGGATGTTTTGGGAAGATGGGTATCCCATCTTGGCAGTTAGATCCCCTATCTATTGATCAGGCTTCTAGGGAAAGGAAAAGTTTATGAAGAAATAAGGACAGTCCAGGTGTTGCTGCCGTTTCAATATTCTGTTGTTACTTAAGGACTTGCCTCAGGTAGATGAGGCAGCTACCAAGATCCTGAACTGTCATACGTGGTTCCAAGGGAGGAAAGAAAGTCAGTAACCTGAAACCTACTCTGCAAGACTGCTCCCATGAAAAGTGCAAAGAGAGACCAGGTTATAAGTTGTATATTTGCCCAGGCAAATTCTTAGTGGCTTTCCAGCATATCTATACCTCTGTGATAGCCACTGAGCTCCCACTGGGAATATCCAACCTTTCAATGTCTGTAGAAGGTCTGGAGCAATATTTGTATGACTGTGCCTACCCACGCACCACTTTTTGATGATCACGCATGCATTTTATAAATGCAGCAAAGTGTGCTGAGTAGGGCTGCGGGAAGCCCAGACCATAACTGGAACTCCAAGAAGGGAGGCCTGACTTAGTCTGAGGGTCGGGGAAAGGCTCAGATTGCTCTGGACCTAGATCGATCCATGGAAGCCAATTCCTGATTTCTCCTTGTGCTGATCTCAGGTTTCTTGAGGCTCAAGCAATTTTCTAGAAGAAATTGGTAATTATGGTGGCCATCCAGAGAAGCAAACAAGGATGATTTCTGGAGATTTTAATTCTCACAGCCCAAGAGATAGGCATTACTTTTGCCAATCATTTTACCAATCAGGACATTGAGACGCAGAGAGATTAAATTACTCGACCAAGGTCACACAGCTATTATGGTGATAAAATCAGATTTGAATTAGGGCCATTTGTTTTTTTTAATCCAAATCCCATGTTTTTACCATGCCCCTTGTTTTTGAATCCAAAACTCATGTTTTTACCATGCCCCTTGTTTGCCAAGAAGTAGCCAGTAAACTGCCAAGAAGTAGCCAGTAAGCTGAGATTCAGCCATCCCAAAGTATAATGATCACATTCATCACTCACTGCAGTATGGTTTCTCCTCAGCTGTGTCAAAGAAGGCTTTAGTCATAGGGGGGTAATTCTCTTTTAAAAAGTCTTTCCAATGATCAGCATAATAGCCTAAAAAGTAAGTTGGAAAAATATAATATTAACATGTATTATAGAACTATAAAAGTAATTGAGAAGGCAGGAAAAACAGTGAGTTTGACTGTAACTACCATCACTATGGAGACTTCCTTCCCCTCTGCATGGTGCAGACTCACAGGGTCACCAGGGCAAGCATCTCCTAAGCACCACCACAACTTGCTGGCTGACATACACCCCTAAGAGCCAGTGCTTATCAAGGGCCCGGACAATGGTGTTTCCCTGCCTTTGACTGGAATTCTATCACCCAGCACTGGCTCTCAGCTGCCCTGGCCTGGGTGTGGAAGTGGGAAGACACACACTGATGTAGGCTAAAAATAGCACTGACGTTTCTCAGAAGTACATTCATTTTGTAAATTAAAATAGATCCAAGTTTATACTTAAAACAGCATCATGCTTGCAAAAGGATGTGCTTTCCTGTAACCTAAATTGCACAGAACTTGGGCTTGCCATGTAACTCTGTTTCCAAGCAGGTGCATGTTCTCATTCACATCCGTGCCTACAGGAGATGAGGCCGAGTGCAGTCCACACCTCTAGGCAATGGCCTTCAGGTTCTGACTTAATCATCTGGGGGGAGGCCCAGGCATCGGCATTTTTTAAACCGTCCCTAGATAAATCTGTTGTGCAATCATGGTCCCATGAGCAATCTGGCTGCGCCCCTTCTCCTCTGAAGTTCTAGGATTCATCTCCAGCTGCCCTGCTTGATAGACATGATACAGTGATGAGATGTCACTCATACAAAAGATACAAAGACACAGAGGCGAGCGACTGAGTGAGGACCGCTTGCAACAGACATCCTGGAGCAAGTTCTCATGGCCATCCAGTTTTCTAAGTCTTCATCACCTAGAATATTTGTGTTGACTTTTAACAACCATTGGAGATGCCGCCACAGTATCTCTTACCCACCCCACATCCTGTACACGCAGGAAAGAGTCCAAGTGTGGAAGCGGGCTGTTTGCAGTCCTGACTTGCTGATGGGGATTACGCTGTGAAGCCCATTTGGCAGGAGGGTCCCTAGGCTCACTGTGGACCCATGGTGGTCCTGGAGGGGGGTGTTCCCTCCCCCCTGGGAGAAGGCTATGTAAGGTGCCATGCTTTGACTCAGCTTGGAAACTTTTCTGGAACTTTCTCTTTTTTTGTACTAGAATTGAGTGTCTATGGAGGTTGTAATATTTTCTGGATGGAAATCTATTTAGATTGCTTTTTTACCATTTGATTATTAGGAGACTCCAGAGTAGATCACAGAACAAATTGATCAGAATAAGCTAACTAAATAGGTGTTTCTAAAACAGAAAATTTTGAGACAGTAACATTGGTGCTGAGATCTCCACCACAAATTAGACCTTGGTTAAAGAGAGAGGAAATGTCTCGCTTGGCTTACCTAGGAGGGGACAGGAGTCCTTTGGTGGCGTACCACAGCTGACACACTTGCCGTCCCTATAATCCTGGTAGGAGTCACAGGGGTATGTGGTGATGGAACAGTTCTCTCTCAGGGAAGAAAGGTACAGGTACACAGACCTCTGGTGGTCACATTTAAAATACTGCATTCCTTGCATGTAAATGGAAAGAGTAGAACAGTTGAAGTATTTAAAATTATATCATATATTTTAAACACGCACATACACAATTTATCATTTATCTGCTAAATGCCAGACATTGTTTCAAGTGTTAACAGCTTCAATGTTCTTGATTGCTTTTAATCCTTCTAAAGACTCACAGCTAAGGATTCATGAGGAACCCTAGTAGTGCAGTGATTAAACCCAAAGGTCAGTGTTTGGAACCCACCAGCTGCTCTGAAGGAGAAATAACGTAGCAGTCAGCTTCCATAAAGATTAAGAACAGAAGTAGCCAAACCAGTTGCGATCCAGTGGACTGCAGGGCTGTCAATCTTTATGGAGGAAGATTAAGATACATCAATCATGCTAGCAAGTGGCAGGAGAAAATATTAAATCAGATTAATATTGTGGCAAGAATCTTAATGTGTTTTAATTAAAGGCCTTGGCTGCATTGCCCTCCAGTGGTTGATCACCGACAGCAATTCTACTCAAATTATTTTAGAATATAGAAAAGGATGGGCAGTTCTTGAATTCATTTTATGATGCAAACCAGGCAAACACATCACTAAAAAACAGAGTTATAAACCAATTTCCTTCATGAACATAGATGCAAAAATTCTCAACAAAATTCTAGCCAATAGAATCCAAAAATGTCTCAAAAATAAAACATCATGATCAAGTGGGCTCCATACTAGGTATGCAGGGATAGTTCATTATTAGACAAACAATCAGTGTAAACTGATAAATCAAATAAATAAATAAATCAAAGGAAAAAAAACAACACATGACCATAAGAGCTCTGGTACATGGCATAAATATACTTTCAACATAACTGAAAACATACAAACAGCAGAAGACAAAATAGATGACTGGGAACGCCTAAAAATTAGACATTTATGTGCATCGAGAGAGTAAACAGAGAACCCACAGACTGTGAACAGTTTTTGTCTGATAGATCAGACAAGGGACTACTGTCTAAAAATTTACAGAATACTTCAATAGCTCAATAAAAAGACACACAATCCAATTTAAAAATGGGCACAGAACATGAACAGACACATCACCAAAGAAGACATTCAGGCAGCCAACAAACATAAAGAAATGCTCATCATCACTAGTCATGAGAGAGATGCAAATCAAAACGACAAGCTATCATCTCACCCCAGCATCAATAGCAAAGTTAAAAAAGAACCAACAACAAAAACAGAAAACAAATCTAGTAGAGGGTGCAGAGAATATGGGACCCTCATATACTGCAGCCAGAGTGCTCCTTGGGGGCCAGGATGGCCAAACTTTGTCTCTCATACTTTGGACATATTGGCAGGAGGGACCAGTCGCTGGAGAAGGATATCATGTTTGGTAAGGTGGAGGGTCAGAGAAGAAGAGGAAGACCACCAATGAGATGGATTGGCCAAGTGGCAGCATCGATAGACTCAAGCATGGCAACAGAAGTGAGATTGGCCCAGGATCGGACAGTATTTCATTCTGCTGTGCATAAGGTTGTTATGGGTCAGTAGCGACTCAACGGCACTTAACAACAACAACAACGTGTACTGCTGGTGGGGCTATAAAATGGTGCAACCACTATTAAACGGTATGGCACTGTCTCAGAAGGTTGGAAATAGAAATATTGTATGGCCCAGAAATCTCTCTACTTGGTTATATCCTCAAGAAATAAGAACCATAGCATAAATAGATATATGTGATTCCATGTACAGAGACTCTTTTGTAACAAAATCTTCTTTTCTGTAGAAGTATATCCATAGTTGTTTAACTTACTTAGCAATGGCAAAAAGTAGAATTTGTAATGTTAAGGGAAGGACTTTTATCTTTCCCCCCACCTATCTACTTTTTATTTTGTTGGTTTTATAAAATGAATATATGCTCATTTGGGAAATACAAAATAATAGAAAATAATGATGCAAAAAATACCTAGAAAGCAAGTATCTAGGGATCATTATGAATTATTATTTATTAACTTATACATGTACAAATACATATCTAAAAAATTGGAATCATCCTACATCATTTTGCATCTTTTTTTACGCAACATAAGAATTTTCCATACTCTCTGAAAACATGGCTTCAAATAATTATATGTGAGTGTACCATCACTTAATAATTTTCCTATTGTTGGACATTTAGATTATTTCTAAAATTGTAACTATTATAAATAATGCTGTATTGAACAACTCTGCACACTAATTCTTATCCACATTTTCCATTATTTCCCTAGGAGAGATTCCCAGATGTAGCATTTCTAGATCAAAATACACATTTTCAAAAGAGAGACATTTATTAGTAGCTTTGAATTATACAGTTATAGTTTTAAAAAGATATACACTTCAGTTATACTTTTAAAATTGTTTTATATTCATAGCACTCTATCATCTCAGGGTTTTGTTGTTTTTTTAAGTTTCTATTGTGAAATGAGTGAAAGTTTACAGGGTAGATGCTCAGTTTTACATTCAACAAATCATATACTTTGTTTCATTACAATGATTATTATCCCACCATGTACCATCAGTTAACATTATTTCTCTCTATTCATTTTAGCTCTTTTTTTTTTTTTTATTTAACACTCAAGCACATATAATAATTTACACCACCAAAGGGCATATTCTGCAAGTTTGCCTCCTGGCCACCAGCTCTCAGTCCCTCTCTTTCCATGAACCTAGAGTCCTCAGCTGCTCCCCCTTCTCCATGTCCCCATCTCTGCATCCATCTCTGGTGTCACTGCTTCTCTGGATAAGGTCCCGCATTCCGCTTGTGCTCTTCTCCCTTGATAGTGCTAGGGTCCTCTATTCCTGGACTGTAAGATTAACTACTCCCCTGTTTTTGTTACAAAACTTCTACCTTTACAATTGTGACAGTCGCAATTAGTCAAGATAACAATTACTACTGAATCATAAGAATCTTACCTCCATCTCTTTTAACCAGATCCATCTAAACAAAATGAAAACTATTCAGTGGGGACTCTATTTTCCCCTACACACTCTTAAACCTCCTCTTGAAACCTTGTAAGCCAGTCACTTAGTGCCTTTATCACCCCCTCATTTTAGGTAGCCAATGTCTAAGTTGCCCATCCCTATCTACTTGATGTGAAGACTCCTTCCCTCTCAATTGGTATTTTTAGCTACTACCTTCAGGAGTATAGGTCAAGTTCATCAAATTGTAGCAATTTACACTCATTTCCTTTATCAAAAATTATTTCTTTTTTATCTTCCTCTAGTCGACTTCTGATTATCAAGCCATCAAGGCTAGTTCAGATGGGTACTATCTGCAAGTTTGGGTGTTCTTGTGCATCTCCCTTCACTTCATATCAGCTGGATGCTTCACTCTCAGCTCTAGCCCTCTGTGGCTATGTCCTTGTCCATGGGCTCAGGTGTCCCCAGTTCTCACCACACTTCAGACCAACCGGCCCTTCCTCTTGTCTCTCTCATCTCCAGGTCAACGGGAGTCTATGGAATGTGGTTGAACTCAGCCCATTTCTTCATTGCTGCCTTTCCTCCTCTTCTACTCACCAGTAGACCAATATGGTCACCAGCAAGCCTGCGTGCCTGCCCTTTGAGTTTCAGTCTTAGTGGGGGGGTTTGTCCTGCTTGAAGGGACTTGATTGCTTGCCTTGGTGACTTCCTGGTGAACAACTTGCTTATTCTTGTAGTAGCCAATCATACCGCCATTTTTGTTTTGTTTTTTTCCTGATGATCCTTCTTTGACAATGTTATCTTTTGTCACTCTAGCTGTTCCAGGCTGGTCTGCCTGTCTTTCTTTCTAGCACATTTTTGTTTTTTAGTTTTAAAAAAAGAACTACTCCATGTAGAATAATATCAGATTTAAAAAAATATGTCTTTTTAAAAACAACTATTTTACAAAATATTAAGATTCTGCACTTACCTCCAAATATTGTTTTGGGGCAACCAGGCTGATCCAATCCTCCATTTGGGTAGAAGTCTATGTTTCCTAATGGATCCTTGTAGCCCAGTGCTAAAATAGAACACATTATGCTTTTAAATTACTTTGAATTCTTTATACTCATAATTCATTTGTCTGTGGGATTAGGGCAGAGATTGTGTTGGTGTTGTTAAGTGCCATCAAACTGGTTTAGACTTAACAGCAAGTCTACGCACAACAGAATGAAACACTGCCTGGTCCTGTGCCATCCTCACAATAATTGTTATATTTGAGCCCATTGTTGCCACCACTGTGTCATCTTGTTGGAGGGTCTTCCTCTTTTTCACTGGCCCTCTACTTCACAAGCATGATACCCTTCTGCAGGGGCTGGTCCCTGCTGAAAACATGTCCAAAGTACTTAAGACAAAGTCTCACCATCCTTACTTCTAAGGAACATTCTGACTATAATTCTTTAATACAGATCTGTTTGTTCTTCTGGCAGTCCATGGTACTTTCAATATTTTTCTCCAATACCGTAACTCAAGTAAATCAAGTCTTCTGTGGTCTTCTTTAGTCACTGTCCAACTTTCACGTGCATATGAGGCTACTGAAATAACCATGTTATCAGACAGCTCCTATAGATCTGCTAGGAACTTTCTAATACATACTTCATTTAAAATACGTTGCTGTTGTTAAGTGCCATCAAGTTGGTTCTGACTCACAGCAACCCAGTATAAGGTTTCCAAGGAGCAACTGGTGAGTTTGAACCACCGACCTTATGGCTCAAACTGACCTTGTAGTCCAGTCCTGCACTTCTCCAACAGCACCACATTATCCTCATTTTACATATGGTATGTGTGGTGTTGTGGGTTAATGTGCCAGACTGCAAAGCCGTTTGAACTGCAAGGTCGGTGGTTCAAGCTCACCAGCTGCTCCTCGGAAACCTGTACAGGGTCGCTATGGGTTGGGACCGACTCGACGGCACTTTAACAACAACAACAATATTCAATACTCTTTGTCAATGCCACAGTTTAAATGCATCAATTCTTCTACAGTTTTCCTTATTTACTGACCAGTTTTCACACACTGGACATAAAAGGTGCTGAAATTACCACGGCTTGCATCAGGTCCATCTTAGTTCTCAAAGTGACATCTTTGCTTTTTAACACTTTGAAGAGACCTTTTGCAGCAGATTTGCCTGGTGAGAAATGTGATTTGATTTTGTGATTGTTGCTTCCATGGGCGATGACTGTTGATCCAAGTAAAACGAAGTCCTTGGCAATTTCAATATTTTCTGTTTATCATGATGTTGCCTATTGGTCCAATTATGAGGATTTTTACTTTCTTTATGTTGAAGTGTAATCCATACTGAAGAATGTAGTCTTTGATCTTCATTAATGAATGCTCTTGGTTTTCTGCCAGCAAACTTGTGTCATTTGCATATCACAGGTTGTTAAGGAGTTTACATCCAACCCTGAAGCTGCATTCTTCATATAATCCAGCTTCTGCAATTATTTGCTCAGAATACAGTTTGAATAAGTAAGGTGAAAGGATACAACTTGGATTGTATTTTTATTAGTATTATAATTTTACTATTGTTTCTATTGTTGTTGTTGTTGTCAGGTGCCATCGAGTCGGAACCGACTCATAGCGACCCCATGCACAGCAGAATGAAACAATGTTCGATCCTGGGCCAATCTCACTACCGCTGCCACACTTGATGCCATCAATGATGCCACCTGGCTGATCCATCTCTTTTTCTCTGACCCTCCACCTTACCCAGCATGACATCCTTCTCCAGCGACTGTTCTCTCTAGACAATATGTCCAAAGTAGGAGAGACGAAGCTTAGCCATCTTGTTTCTATTATACCTATTTAAATATCTTGCCCAAAGTTGCCCTGGGCAATGATTTCTAATTAGGAGACAGACAGACTCCTGGTGTGGTGCTGTAGGATCCACACTGGATTGGGAACCATAAGGTTAGCAATTCAATGGCCCCACCAGCTGCCCCTCAGAAACCCCGTACAGGGTTGCTATGACTCGGGGAACTGGATAGCACTTAACAACATGTTAACTTAACAAAATGGTGATAAAGAAATTTATTTCCAGAGACTTAAAAGGAAACTTAGACACTCATTCACTGCAAGGCTGATGAAATGTTTCTTCGTATTTGGTTGGAATGCTTCCTAAACTTCTAATTGCTTTTGTGTAAGTCTTTAATGAATAAAAAAAAATGGAGAAAAAGAATAATTTTTATTTGACTGCAAATTACTTAATAGGCAAAATCTTCAAAATTTTAAATCCATGATGAAAATAATTGGAAATACTTTTAGAAAATGGACCTTTAAAACATATGGATATACTTAATAACTCCTTATTTTCTTTAACACTGTAATACCAAAATCATCAGTAAAATGCTTGATTAAAAAATATTATGGTTGCTATGTGCTGTGGAGTTGATTCTGACTCATAGTGATCCTGTATACAGTTTCCAAGGCTGTAAATCTTTACAGAAACAGAAAGCCTCATCTTTCTCCCATGGAGCCGCTGGTAGATTTGAACTGTTAACACTGCAGTTAGCAGTTCAGCTTGTAAACCACTACACTACCAGAGCTCCTTAAATTAAAAAAAAAAAAAAAGATTATACACACATATAAATGTTATGTGTGTTTGTACTGATCACGGTAATAATGTTATTGTTGTTAGGTGTCGTTCAGTCAGTTCCTACTCATAATGACCCTGTATAGGGTTTCAGAGGAGCAGCTGATGAGCTTGAACTGCCAACCTTGAACTTCAAACCAAGCTTGCAGTCCAGTGCTTTAACCCACAGTGCCACACCAGGACTCCATAGCTAGTATATGTTGAGAAACTTCATGTATCTATGGGCATGATACCAAGTACTTTACATAACTTTCTTCCAATTTTCACAACCTTGCAAAGTTGTTGTTGTTAAGTGCCGTCGAGTGGGTTCCAATTCATAGTGACCTTGTATAGGGTTTCCAAGGAGCAGCTGGTGAGTTTGAATTCATAAATCCAGATGAAATGATTTACTGATGAGGCTCAGAGGAGTGAAGGAAAACTAACACGACACCATTAGTAAGAGCAAAAGCTGGGGCTGAAGTCCCAGTCTTAGGGATCACAACAGAATATTGCCTGATACAGCGCTGAATACGAGTCCTTCAGGTTGGAAGGCACTGTAACTGTGGATTAACACAATAGCCTCAACAATGGGCTCAAATATATCAAAGATGATGGCAATGGTACAGGATAAACAGTGTTTCCTTCTGGAAGGGTGCCCGAGTCAGAGTCAACTGGACAGCAACTCACAGCTGCTTGACTGCAAAGGTTATACTTTTTTTTTCTTCAAACTTCACTTGCTCTCTAAGAAAAATCAATGTATCTACTCCATCAAGCACTCACATGGTGTTACTTTAGTAATATAATACTTTATCATCTCTGTGTAAGGGAGCAGATATTTCACAAGGAAAAGTTTCCTTTAAGACAAACAGTTGCTGAATACCACACCAGAGTGCAGATGATGCTAAGGTGATCAAGGAATTTTTTAAGAGGTTGTGTAATAAAAAGGATGTACATTTAATTTTGCTCTGCTCCATTCCTTCAGCCCACCAGGGTCCTATATGGACCTAGCCTAGAACATCACTCCAACTCCATGACATGTACCCCAACCCAGATATGAAATTTCACAAATGAAAACACTAGAGTATGTGTTACTCATTGGCCTGTCCTTCACTTTAAAAAGGAAGGACACTTTTTTAAAAAGAGCGAGCTGCTCGGTGCCTGCATGAAAGCAACTTCCCTCCAACATTTCTGTGGATTTGGCACCTTGCCTGTAGGAAGAGGGCATCTGGAGGAGCCTGATCTGCCCTTACATGACAGTTCCCCCAGAGGGAGCTTCTCAGGGAGTCTGGGAGACCACTGACCCAGGAGGACAGGAATGTTACCATCAGTGTCGGAATGGATGACGTCAACAAACTGCGCATCACCAGGATCTAATCTGTCTTGCGGAGGTTTACTGTTGAATAAAGGGCCTGCAGGGTCAAGACCTGAAAAGAAAACAGAGTTGGCTTGGCAGCCCACGCCATGAGTCACCTGAAGCTGGGCTTTTGATCGTGCCCCATAGGGTGGCTCACAGGCTTCAGGGCACCCCCAGGTGGGCAAGTGCTCACGTTCCCATCTGCTTTGTCAGGATGCCTTCTCACTGCCCTGCAGCCTTTTCCCACAGTGCAGACCCCATAAATAGGTAGACCTTATGCAGAACTTAACTGCAGGGAGTGCATTCCTCCAATTCATATATGAGAGAAGTGCTGTGGGAGATGAGCACTGGACTGCCAACAGCAAGTTCGGAGGTTCAAACTCACCAGCTGCTCCTTAGAAACTCTATACAGAGTCTCTATGAGTCAGGACCTACTCAATGGCACTGAACAACATAGTTTTCTTTATTCCATTTTTAATGATCCAGAAACCTCACTCAACTCTTCCTCCCTGTTATTAATAAAACTTCTTGATGTTCACTTGTTTAAAATTGTACTTGTATGTACTAGCTCATTTGATCCTCATTGCCTGTGAGGAAGGCAGGGTAACTATAATTATTCACATTTTACAAATGAATAAACAGAGGTGCAGGGAGATTAAGTGTCTTGATCTGTGTCACAAAGCCTCAAAAAACAATCACTTCTAGATGTTGAGATCTTGTATTCACTGTATCCAGTTTAGCAAACTCCTGGAAAGAGCAAAACTCCTGGGTCAGGCCAGCTGTCAAAGAGGGAAGTAAAGTTGGTATCAATCCTGCAGAACTAACTCACCCCCATAAATGCCTGACCTGATTTCTTACCCTTCATCAATGTTGGCTGTGTGTTCCTCACCATTACTATGAAATAGCTAGAAAGACAGATGAGCAACTCCCATGATGGTATAACCACAAAATAAAAAAAAATTAATCTGTGGCTGTCACTTTAGATGACATTTCCCACTCCCTAGTGTCATATATAAAATCCAAGATATAGCAGCGTTACGTAAGCAACTTTCCTGGTTCTAGCTACATTTTCTCCATGTCTCCTCTTCAGGTTCTTTTTCGGAGTCCCAGAAAGCTCAAATGGTTAATGAGCTTGACTGCTAAAAGAAAGGTTGGAAGTTTGAGTCTACTCAGAGGCACCTTGGCAGAAAGTCCTGGTGATCTTCTTCAGGAACATCAGCCCATAGTTGGTTTAAGGCTCTTGTGTCTCCTTGGAACCTTTGTTTATCTGTCTCCTTTCCTAATCTTTCTCTCTTTACTCCCCAGTCTTCCTATCTCTTCTGACTACTCCCAAGTGAAACTGCTGTGGGAAGAGTTGGGTCAACACCCAAGCACTCTAACCCACAGGATTGTCTCAGCTGAGCATGAGAAATTCCAACTTTAGAAAGGATTGTCTGGAGAAATCGCTCCCTCCTTATATAAGATAGCAACATTTCCTGCCTATGACAATTAATGATGAGAGTCCAGTTTACAGCAGCCTCCAGATCCATAGCAGATGTCCAGACCAGGGCAATGTTGAAAGTGAAAATGGTTTTGTAATAATTATATCAGGACAAAAAGCACAAACCATGACTATCACAGGCAAGTTTGGACATATGACCCCCTGACTGATCTGATAAGAAAATTAGAAACTTAGAATGTCAGCCAAAATATGACATTTAAGCTGTGGCACTGTAGGATAAGTACTGGACTGCTAACCAAAAGGTCAGCAGTTGAAACCTACCAGCTACTCCTCAGAAACCCTATACAGGATTGCTATAAGTCAGAGTTCACTCAACAGTGCTTAACAACATAGAATAAAAAATTATATACTCTGTGTGGGCAGAGCACATGGGGGCCAGACAAATATGACAAGTGACATGATGGAGCTCCAGATCTGTTGCTGACCAGCTGTGTGACATTACGCAAGTGACTTTCCTTCTCTGAACCTTATTTGTAAAATGGAGGAGAAATGAATACCTACTTCAGAATATTTATAGCAGGTTTCCTGAATCTGAATCTAGAAGATTCTGAAATCATTATAGAATAGAAACAAAATAGATCAGTGAATCTTGTCCTAAGATCTCTAGAAAAGTATCTAGAAAGTGATCCTTGGTGGGGTTTTGTTCTTGTTGTTTTGTTTTGTTTTATAACAGCATTAACTAGTTTTAGAATTTGATGAAAGCCATGGCCCTTTCTACAAGACAAACATCCAACATTTTGCAATTTCAGGGGTCTCTTGACCTATCCCCAAATTACCATGAGTTGTTTAAGACAATGCTGACCAACAGAAACATAATGTGAGTCCATATGTAATTTAACATTTTCTAAGGAAAGTGTAAAGAAATAAAGAAATTAATTTTAACAGCACATTCTATTTACCCAGTACATCCAAAATATTACCTTTTCAACATGCAATCAATACCAAAGACTTGAGGTACCTTACACTCTACTTTGTGTCTTGTATTTCACACTTACAACACATGTCTATTTGCACTGACCACATTTCAAGCATTTAGAGCCACATGTGATTGGTGGCCTCTAAACTGGACAGCACAACTCTAAGGTCATTTCTCAAAGCATGGGCTGCAGACCATCTCTGTCTTCTGATTAAAATAGATTTCTAGCCTCCAGCCCCAAAGGTTCCAGTTTAGTACTTTGGCACTGTAACCAGCCCGTCCAGGGTGATTTGTACTCACCCTTAAGTTTGAAAACCAAAAATAGTGTATTATCAACTAATGTAGGTTCTGAACTATTTTAAAATTCACTCATCCTCTGCCACGTTTTGTTGAAGAAGTTTATGAGAAGGAAAACTAGAAGTATCTGAAGAAAAAGAGAAGGAAGGGCAGAAGAAAGAGAGGGTGATGGAAAGAGATGAAAGAGTCATAAAGGGCTAGAAACTATGGTTTGAACTGCAAAGTTGGTGGTTCCAGCTTACCAGCTGCTCCTTGGAAACCCTATACAGCGTCTCTATTGGTTGGAAGTGACTCAGTGGCATATAACAACAACAACAACAACAATAACAGGCAGTGGTGGTGGTGTGCTGTTGAGTTGGTCCTGATTCATAGTAACCCTGTATAGGGTTTCTGAGGTTGTAAATCTTTACTAGAGCAGAAAGCCTTATCTTTCTGCTATGTGTTGTTGTTGTTAAGTGCCGTCAAGTCAATTCCGACCCATAGCAACCCTGTATAGGGTTTCCAAGGAGCAGCTGGTAAGCTTGAACCACCAACACTGCAGTTCAAACGGCTTTGAAGTCTGACACATACACCAGGACTCCTTTCTGCTATGTTGTTGTGGTGGTGGTTATGTGCCGTGGAGTCAGTTCCAACTCATAGCGACACTGTACAGGGTTTCCGAGGCTGTAAATCTTTGCGGGAGCAGAATGCCTCATCTTTCTCCCGTGGAATGGCTGGTAGTTTCAAACTGCTGACCTTGAGGTTAGCAGCCTGATTTGTAACCATTACGCTACCAGAGCTCCTTTTCTGTTACGTAGTAGCTGGTAAATTCAAACTATTGACCTTGTGGTTTGCAAACCAACTCATAACCCACTACACTACCAGAGTTCTACTAATTAACTGCTGTTGTAGTTGTTAAGTGCCTTGACCCTGTATAGGGTTTTTGAGGAGCAGAGCTGGTGGTTCTGAACTGTTAACCTTGTGGTCAGCAGTCCAATGCTTATCCTGCAGGGCCGTACCAGAACTTCTAATTAACAGGTAATACCTAGTATGGTGTTGTAGCATAAACAATCACAAGGTCAACAGTTCAAACTCATCAGCCGCTCCTTGGGAACCCTATACAGTGTCACTTTGAGTCAGAACACTTGACAATAACAACACCACCCAGAAAATTAACTGAACTGAACAGTTCGTGGAAGTTGGGAGTGAATTGTGTCTTGGGGTAACATACATCACATTCCCATCCCACATTCTAGAGAACCCACCCAGAGGTGAATTGGCAGGGAACATTCTTTACCCACTGAAGTGCCGGAGGACAGCTGAGCTTGACCTTGGGATTCAGAAAGGATGAGAACACAGAGGTATCAGTGGAAACAGCAAATTGAGTCCCTAGACCACCAGCTGAGTCCAGGCCTGGGAGCAGAAATTTGTTGAGTCCAGCATGGAAGGAAGGCTGGTTAGGGGGAATTTCTGTAGTCAGAGGCCAGGCTACACTGCAGTTCACATTCAAAGCAGGTATAGCGGTCAGTTTGCTGGACATCTAGGAGTGCGGCTGGGTGGCTGTTAAAACAAGACACTGGTGGGCTGGAGCTCACTAACACCGGCACTAGAGCCAAATGTGTTCTGTGCTCATCTCTGCCCCAAATTTGTGGTCAGTGATGTCATGCTGGCAGCTTAGCACCAACTATGGTGCAAGTATTTACACCACGGAAAATAGCAAATGCTATAAATCAAGGCTTTTTCATTTCTTAAAGCCTGTTCTGCTTTCTAGAGCACCACCCAGAAAAGTCCTACCTGCTAGTGGATGAACTACCAACAGGTAAGGGAAAGAAGCGAATTCAACCCATCTATTTTTTGTACCCATAAGGGAATAAGAAATTTTCAAAGCATAAGGACACATGAATTTCTGAAATATAATAACAACAATAATTTGTTATTGTTAGATGCCATTGAGTCGGTACCAACTCATAGCGACTCTACGCACAACAGAACAAAACACTGCCCGACCTTGGGCCAATCTCACAATTGTTGTCACGCTTGAGCCCATTGATGCTGCCTCTTTGCCAATCCATCTCACTGGTACATGTTTTAAATTCAAAAAGAGCTTTGCTTCTCTAGAACACATAAGTAAGAAGATGAGAGTAGCCTTGGTCTTTGGAGTGAAAGTATGGAAAACAATCTTTAGGGTAAGGGTCAGAAGAGATGTCAACCGAGGTGTGAGGGTGAAGAAGGGAGAGAGAAAGGACTTGTCCAGGGCTACTGCTTGAGGACCTAAAGTTTACCTCCCAAACGTAGTTGGTTTGAATCATTTACCATTCCCCTCCTTCCATCCACTTCTACCTTGCAGATTTCCAGCATTTAAAATAACTATCTCTGTGAAAATGATTATGGAAAATATATGAATTGGAGAAGCCTCCAGTCTCTGAAAGAGAAAGCCTCCCTCCTTGGTAGCTATGGAAAGTTACTAAACCACCAGGTAAGAGGACCCAGTAAGGGAGCATTTGTTTGGGTTTGACCTGTTGCATTTCTGAGTGTTTTCAATCAGTTTTGGCTTGAGAGTTGATATTCAGAGAATGAGCCTCAGCCATCAAAATTCCCATCTCATTTTCCTGTCATGAGACTCCAGCTATTTCTGGGGATGAATGGTATTAAGTATGGAGTTAAAGCTTGTCTTCATTAAATGAAAGGAGGACAAATACCTGCTTGGGGCAAAGAAATCAAATCTACGTGGGACATAGCTGGTTTTACAGGTTATATTAAAAAAATGAAGTAATCACCAATCTTTTCTGTGACATACAATTTACAGAGTGCCAGGTGGCACACACAGCATGTACTAGAATACTAGTGTGTCCCTGTAGAATAAGCACTGGATTGCTAATCGCAAGGTCAGTGGTTCAAACCTACCTGCCACTCCTTGGAAACCCTATAGAGTACCGATCAATGGCACTTAACAACAACAACACCACCACTAATCTAAAGGTTGGTGATTCAAACCCTCGCAGTGCCAGTGCTGGAGAAAAGACCCAGTGATTCGCTTCTATAAAGATTACAGCTAAGAAAACGCTATTTTCTACATTGTAACACATGGGATTGCCATGAATCAGAATTGACTCAACTGCATCAGGTTTGGGGTTTTTTATTCTGTTTCATTTTGCACACATTATACAGTTAATATAACTATGATCTTCCATTTGCGTAAGAGGATGCGAGCTCAGAGAGGTTATGTAATTGAAAGAGCTGGCTTGGAACCTGAGCACTTGGAATGTCTGCATAATGCTCTCCCATTGACCACCCTGCCCAAGCCAGCTACATTCACAGACTTACCTGTGATTCTCCCCAGCTTCCCATCAAACATTTCTCCAACAAACCCAGATATGTGGGCTCCTAGACTTACTCCAATCATGTAAATATCAGTAAGAGAAGCTCCTTCTACCTGGAATTTCAAGAGATTCATTCATTATGAATTGTGAGGAATCAAGGAATTGACAAAGTTTGGAGAAATTTCCTAACTATTGACTTTGGAGAAACATATCTAAGAGCCTTACATCCATTATCTTGTTTCAATGTCATGACAATCCCAAAAAGTAAATAATACTCTGGTTTTACAGATGAGGAACTGAAGCTCAGAGTTTAAGTAATCTACCCAAGGCTAGGTGGTTGGGGAGAAGGTAGAGCAGGTTTCAAACGCAGTCTTTATATCTCCAACCTGCACCTTAACCTGTATGCCATGGTGTCGTCATTTATTCTTCTACTAGCAACCAAGCTGAGAAATCTTTAAAATCTTTAAAATTGGGTATGGGGCAACAGTACATTTTGGTGAACTGCCTTCATCTCATGCTCGCTTAGTTAATGAAATCACCATGCAGCAAGCAAGAGAGAGGGTGACAGGTAGAATGGGGTAGATAGCACAGCCCACAGGCTGCTGGGACAGGCTGCCATGTGTCATTTTCATAATCAGCTTCCTAGGATTGTGGCTTAGATGGGGAGCTTATATAGAAGTCGTGCCACCCAGCGTCATAGTGACCACCAGACCAAAATCCCTCAGTAATGGCCCAGATTTCATGTCACTTTTTCTTTTCTTATTCTTATTTTTGTTTTTCTTTTAATAAAAGGGGCACTTCATAAGATACATCACAAAATTTAAGGTTTAGCATTTGTAAGTCTTCCAAAAACATAAATTATACACACAAAAATTCTTTCGGCAGACCATGTGTTTCTATATTAGTTTTGGACAATTTGGTCACTAAAGTTTTGACACTTTGTAGCAAAATAAACAGTTATCAAAGCTGAGGAAGCTCTAGGTGTTGAAACCAGTAACCATAAGATCCTCTCTTAACCATAATACACCTTTATGTGAGTTAGAAAATTATGCCCCTTCCTCAAAACACTTCACTGTGTTATGCTGGAAAAGTTAACCTAATAAATATATAAGCCTAGAATGTCTACAATGGCAATGGCGCCCCCCCAGAGGTTGTCCTTGTGCCTGTATAACCATGCCTATCGGTCTTACCTGTAACCCTTTCCTCCACCCTACTTCCCTGGGACTTATTCAGAGTCGTAAAATGTTACAAAATGGCCTCCCTGCTCACTGAAAATGCTTCTTGGTTTTCATCTCCAGGTAATGGGTCAATTTCAATTTGACCCTGAATCGTCTAAGAGAATATCTCTCTTACCAACATCTGGTCAATAAATTCCTTCAAGACTTTGGCAACATCTCTGGTTTTTTCTGAAGCGTGCACATATATTACAGTTGTTGCTCCTCGGTTCCAATCAACAACAATGACGTTCATGTCCTCTACATAGAGTAAACCTGTTACTAAGTCTTCCATCCAAATTGGACGAGATCCAGTTGGTCTGAATCCATGAATAACGAAGGTGGTTTTCTTGGTCACATTCAAGTTCCCAAAAACTGTGGTGTTGATGGCTTGTGCGCAGGTTGGGTTTTTCCTTGTGTAGAGAATCAGTTTCACATTTAGTCCTGTACCAACCACGGCATTGTGAAAGCCTAGTTTGGTGAACGTGGGACATTCTTCATCTGTGTCTGAAATGAAAATTAAATGGCATCAGGACAGTTCTATCTTTAGTTGACTATCAGGCAAGAATATTGTTCTACACTTAATGGACTTCTTTGCTATTCCTTTTAGCACCTAGCACCAGTCCCTGAAGAAAGCCATTATACTTGGTGAAACAGAGGGTCACTGAAAAAGAGGAAGACCCTTAACAAGAAGGGCTGACACAGTGGTTGCAACAATGGGCTGAAACAAAGCAGCAATTATGAGGATGTCACGAGACTGGGCAGTGTTTTGCTCTGTTATACACAGGGTTGCTATGAGGTGGAACCAACTTAAATCGCACCTAGATTAAGACGTTTGAAGTTGCAATATCATATCTGATGCCGAACTCATAAGTAGTGATCTCTGGGGATTCATACACATTACTTCACTAGGGGAACTGTTCTTCTAACCTCATCATTCTTCAAGTTCTAACTCAAAAGTTACCTCAGTGACACCTTCGCCAATCTTCCCAGCTATGATTAATATTCACCACAGAACTCTTACGGTTCCTTTATTGACAGCATACTGAGAACACTTTCAGGATTGTATTACGGGTACTTATGGCCAAACTTCGGCTCTCATACTTCAGACATATTGTCAGAAGGGACCAGTCACTGGAGAGGGATATCATGTTTGGTAAGGTGGAGGGTCAGAGAAAAAGAAGAAGACCCCCAGAGAGACGGATTGGCAAAGTGGCAGCATCAATGGGCTCAAGCATGGCAACAGTAGTGAGGTTGCTCTTGAGGCAAGACTCAAAATGAGAAGAATCAGTTGTAAAAATCCATTAATACTCAGAACGTGGAAAGTATGAAGTATGAATCCAGGAAAATTGGAAATTGCCAATAATGAAATGGATCACATAAATATCAATATCCTAGATATTAGTGAGTTGAAACAGACTAATATTGGCCATTTTGAATCAGACAATCATATAGGTTACTATGCTGGCAATGACAAATTCAAGAGGTATGGCATAGCATTCATTGTCAAAAAGAATATTTCAAGATCTATCTTGAAATACAATGTTGCTTATGATAGGATAACATATATATGCCTACAAGGAAAACCAGTTAATACAACTATTATTCAAATTTACACAACTATTGTTGTTGTTGTTAAGTGCCGTTGAATCCATCCCAACTCATAGCAACCCTGTATAGGGTTTCTGAAGAACTGCTGGTGAGCTTGAACCACCGACCTTGCAGTTCTATTTGACTTTGCAGTACAGCACATTAACCCACAGTGCCACACCAGGACTCCATACAACTATTAGTACAACTATAATTCAACATCCTATCCTGGAGCGGCAGCGAGATCCTGGAGCGGCAAGATTCAGAGTCCTGGTGTGGTGCTATGGGTTAATGCGCCAGACTCCAAGGCTGTTTAACTGCAAGGAGCGGAAAGCCTCATCTCTCTCACGTGGAGGGCCTGGTGGATTCGAGCTGCTGACTGTGGGGTTCGCAGCCAGATTTCTAACCACTACACTACCAGGCCTTCCACCTTCAAGATGGCGGATCGGATAGACATGTAGTGAAGAGCTCGGTCAACAACAACACGGAATACCAGGCCAACAGGGCTCATAAGATGGTGTTGGAACTCTGGAACAAATATAAAGGTATGTTTGGAGGATTGGAGGGTTTATAGGTGGGGAATTTGCAGGAGAATCCAGAAATCCATTATTTTCTGGATCAAGACACTCAGCTGTTCCAGGAGCCGCCATTTTGGGAGAGCATATCTTGATTGTATCAGGATTGATACGATTAGGAGAGAACATCTTGATTGTATCTTGATTATATCAGGATTGTATCAAGATTGACATCGAAATTTAAAGAGACAGTGTAGACATAAAACCAAACGGCCACCACTTGTCTGTCTGTCATGGTGTGGTGGTTTGAGTT